CATTGTCAAATGTGTAGTTTTTAGCTTAGATATACCACACATAGTAGGATATGTTTACTGAGAAATATAGGTACCATATTCTTTTCTATCACCTGTAGGTACAAGGCCCAAAAATATATCTACATTTAAAAAAAATACACGATTACTTCTGATTGTGTGTGTACTCACAAATTTATCACTGCCCAAAACAAAAGTTTCAGGATCGCACAAAATCAATATCTGCTCAACCATATCAATAAACATACATACAACGAAGTAGATACATATATCACATCCATTTCATTACTTACTACCTACCTAATTCCAATTTAATTACACAAAATACACTTTCAATAATTAAACTCAGTATTACGTTTTAATTCCCGCGTAACAATAAGGGGCGAGTCTTATACCTTTGAACAAGGACGAATTCCATGTCATAAAGTTTGTAATTTATTGTAAACAAAGACTTGGAGGAACAAAGACATACTTGATGGGCATGGGCGTATGGTGTTACCTCAATAGACTTGGTAACAATAGCAAATCCTTTCGTGTGACGTAGGTATCTATTTACTATATATACTTACATATACACAGGGTTGTATAAAGAAGAAGATTCTATGTGTTTCGTTGTTGACAAAACCCGTGTAATAGAGAGCGTGTCTATGGCTGAATATCAAACTTTTTTTTTTGCAAACTCTTTTTATAGATAATGCGTAAATACCATTATCGTGAAGAAAAAAATATCTTTTCGTTTCCATTTTCGAACATAAGGATGATGTCGAAGATTAAAAATCTATGAAGTCAGTCATTTGAATTATTATATTCATTGGACACCATACTTATTTTCTTCTTTTTTCTATAAAAAAAAACATATGCTAGCGACGTCAAGAAGTATGTAATACACATAGCATTGATGTCATGCAATATTTTAAATCGATAGGTATATTGTGGAAAGTTTCTCCTTCAAAATGAATTAAGTATCAAAATAATCTTCATTCGTTTTTCATTCTCATTATCAACTCATTATCAATATTCTGACATACCTACACCTACAAACTAATATAGTGAAATGAAAAATTATTACAAATACATTTCTATACTCTTTATGTACAATTAAAGAAAATGAGCAACAAGCTTTTATAACAAACCAACTAGACTGACAGAAAAGATCAGACATGTTACCTTACAAATAAAATATCCAATTACAACTTACAAGTAAAAATATATAGATACTAAAGTAGTTAGCTACGTTGGAAAACCGCCATTAAAATTTCAACACACATGTACTTATAATGGCGCCATTTTTAACAAGCCTGTCACAGAGTACAAATACCAGCATAACAAACTACCCCTAACTCACAACATCCTTCAATAAACTTTCGACTTTACATCAAAACGATAAAGTCGAAATTCCATTTGATGGTACGTGATAGCTTGATGTGCCTGCCTATCAAAGTATGTATAGACACAGTTACATCAAGTTACTCTCAACATGTTCAGTGTATTTTCAGCTTTGTGACGTTGGAATAGAGTTGGGAATGTATTAATGTGTTGTGTAAGCTTGATGTGCTGTATATCTCGGGTTGCATTACAAAGTATCGACACATTATCGTCACGCTAGTCTGTGGTATTGGGAGGTTTGAATCAATAACTACCCCTCGACACCCCTAGCAACCGCAAACCACAATGAGGGATATGTCAATATGTCTTCTGTGGAAATTACAATTTTAACTGCATTTACTATGTATAGGTATATTTTTGTGTACGGCCAACCAGGCGTCGGTTACCTGATGGTAAGCAATCAGCGCCGCCCATGGAAACCCGCAACAACAGAGGAGTTATGAGTGCCGACCTTTTGGGGATTAGGGATTTGAAGATTTAGTGATTGGGGAAGGAAAAGGACTGGGCCTCCCGTAACCTCACACACACAGCAAAACATAACGCTGTGGTTGGTCCACGCTGGTTTTTCGTGAGGCCGTGGTATTATTTCGGTCGAGCTGACCCATTCGTGCCGAAGATGGCTCTCCTAGCGTCTTTATAATTTGGAGAGTTTTCCCTAATTATTATGGAAGTATTAAAGATTAATAACTATGAATTATTAAATAGGTATGGTTTAAATTTTATTTATTCTGTTTGCTGAATTTTCAGGTGACTCTAAATAAAAAAAAATCCGCGAATCAGACAAGCGAAATGCCGCTTTAAAAAATGATTGAAACGAATAACCCTTTTCGTCAGTTATTAAACCAATCCTATAGTATAATACTTTTGAAATACAACACAAAATAACTATAAAGTTCATTAAAGAGGTCACTGTTTGACCTCTAATAAACCTAACGTTTATTCTAAAACTTTACAAATACGATATAAAAAATAAACAATTTTAATGAAAAAAAAAAACAGCAAAGCACTTTATCAAAAGTAAAACAATGTTACAGCAAAAAAAAAACAAGTGACTCACTCGCAATTACCTCCGCCACTCCACAGTTTTATTCGTCATACGTATACATTAATGGTATAAGCGCAGACATTATATGGCGCCTACAGCCAACTATGGAGCGACTATTGAAATAAATCACTTTTATAATTGCATTGACTCTTAATTAGTGTTATGGTATTAGGTTGTTGATTATTACAAGTAATTACTGAGTACACTTAATTGTTTCTTGTAGCTGTTTTTTCGAACTATGCGAACTAATTGTATTTTTTTTTTTGAGGCGTAAATCATCAACATTAACTTGCTCTCTCGTCTTTCATGGGGCGAGTGAAAGTGTCAGACTCTTACTGACAAAAACCACTCCGTCTCGTCTCCTTGTCTATGCAGAGGCCGTGGCGTATTATGGCGTTTGACCTAACTTACTGTATTTTAGGTATATTTTTAGTATTCTACTACCAAACTAAATTGTTTAATGAATTTAGAATGTGAAAAACTTTTGAAACGTCTAAAAATGGTCAATCGGTACAGACAATGTACAATCTATCAATGAAGATAGTATAGTTCCAAAGCAAGAAATTGCTTACGGACTTGGTTGACTATTTGTTCTGTATTCTGAGCTATTAAAATATTAATATTAAATAAGGCAAAATATGCCATATCTATATGGTTCCCTTTTCCTTAATATAGTTTAATTGCATTAACAAATACCCCCTTATAACAAAACAAGATTTATCTTTAGTTCAGGTTTAAACCATTGAGTCGGGTTTTGAATTTTGAATCTTATTGTCATCTGCCTTCAATTCGAAATACAAAAACTGGCTCAATGGTTTAGTCCTAGACTAAAGTAAAACCTTGTTTTGTAATAAGGCCGTTAATGTTCGCTTATTGGATTAAAACAAAATTTGTTGCTATCATCATCTTGAAAAGCTAAATAAAGCTATAATATAAGGAAAATAATATCCCTACCTACAATAAGACGCAAGACTGCAGCAATAATAAATTTAAACGTCCAAAAAAACAATTAAAAATAAAAGAGAAAAATGTCTATTTGATGAGATTGTTGACGCAAGTATGATGTTTAAATCCCCGGCGACTCGACCGGATTGAATATTCATTTCATATTTCACGCAAAGTAAACAAACTCACGCTTCGACACGAAAAAAAACACATCCATTAGAAAACAGATTTTGATAAATTACGAACATTTTGCGTAGTTCATTAAAACGTTGTTTAGCAAAAATGGCACTTATAGGCTTTGGGAGTGGTGATTGATCGGTTTTAACAAGATTACGAACCTGCTTACGAATCAATACGTTGCAAATTCAATTGGATATATTGGTCTGTTTACTTGGTGGTGGAATACGAATTTTTTTTTTTTTTTTTTATAGCCTATCGTGTGTCCCACTGCTGGGCAAAGGCCAAAGGAATACGAATAAATGAAATATTTTTGTCAATCTAGAAGTGGTCTTGGATAATTAGGATTTTGGCTGTAAGTGCGTTAAGGGCTGATTTTTCAATAGTCAGATAAAAGTTATCTGAGGAATAAAATTGTTGCTGTCACTGTCTTATAAAAACAATCTGACGCGATAGCATCATAATTATTCCTCAGATAACTTATATCTAAGCATCGAAAAATCAGCCCTTAATTAATTATAACTAATGTTTATTTTGTAGTAGTTATAAGTAATGTTTATTTTCTAACTAACATAGATCCTGATATGATGCGATCAAAAAAGTTGAAAAAATCTTCGAATTGTTTCTGTAGTGCCCACAATCATTTTATACTTTCTACGTTCTAGCACGAAATAGACGTAGTCATTCTTTTTTTTATGGAATAGGTGGTAAACGAGCAGACGGATCACCTAAGGGTAAGCGATCGCGCCGCCCATGGACATCCGCAACACCAGAGGAGTCACAGGTGCGTTGCCGGCCTTTTAAGAAGGAATACGCTCGTTCTTAATATGTAGATATTTTTTTTTGAAGTCCTCATAAGTTCAGAATTTGCCTGTCATGATATGCAGGATCAGCCAGGGTTCAGGGTCGAGCAGGAAAGGAGCGGGTTGTTTTTAACCCATCCAGGGCGGGAGATGTCATTTGCTGTTTTTCCCCCATAAAAAATGACTTGCAGGATAGCAGTTGATACCTTCTGAAGTACCAAGGTATGTCGATCGATCTATAAAGGTGAATGACCGCCACAGGCGTAGCTCAACTGCGACATCGATTTGTCCTCGTGGTGAACTCTTATATACTTTATTTACATATGTAAAATTGTTTTAATATTATAATACTCTAAAATAATATGATGTGTTTTCCAAAAATATTGTTTAATTTTTTTTCTTTTTTGATGGCTTAGGTCGGCAAACGACCTGACGGATTACATGACGGTAAGTAACCAAAAGTGATACTTTAAATGCGTTGCAGGCGTTTTGCGGGTTATTAAAGTTTTACCTAAAGAATAGTTGAGGATGGTGGGTATGTGAAGGATCGAGTCTCCAAAAACTATGCTACTCATAGAAGCCAAGTAGCATGAGAAACCGCCCGGAAATACCTATAGTATTTATACCTCGGGAGAAATATTACTCACCGTAACTTGAAGTGCAGGTCACCAAGTCGTCCGTCATTGCTCTCCGGCTCAGCAGTCTTGGTCTTCTCGGTAGCATTAGCATCGGCGAGCTCCTTGCTCAGCGGGGCAGGCTCGGTGGGAGCTAGCGGCGACTGCGGGCTGTTGCCACCAGTCGGCTGGACAGATACAGCACTATTAGCTTATAAGAAATATACATTGAAGATGTGGCTCTGGGTGATATTGGTTTCGAAGTCAGTCAGATCAGTGACCTTACGTTTATGGTTCAGCGCCACAAGACACCGCGGCCTCGGCCTAGAGCAGGAGAAGGAACGGGAGGGCTTTTAGTCAGTAAGAGTCTGACACTCTATCTCGCCTCACCCTTGGCAAGGGAAGTCATTTGATTTTTGGCCGGGGGCAAGGGTTTATGCGGTATTGTAGGGTTACACAATAATGTACCGCATCTCTATCCCGAAGCAAAAGTAGGAACAGGGTGTCTTTTAGTCACTAAGGATCTGACTGGTTTGGGTCTCGCCGAACCCAGGGCGGGCGGGAGAAGTCAATTGACGAATATGACATATTCGCCAATTCTAAAAAGAAACAAAATTGTCAGATATGCATAGTGAGTAAATCACGTCATACATTTCTTTATCTATAAATTGCACTGTATCTAGGAGAAGGTGGTTAAGAAGAGGTAGACTTCTTTTTCAATTTGTTTCAATCGCTATAGGATAGTATAACATAAGTTTTGTACTTTTACTTATAATATCTTAGGTTCAAAAGTGATGCTAAGTAATGCTTGGGCTACGCTAACGGGAAATGACAATAATTAGCGCGATAATTGATGATATTAAACAATGAAAAATATACCTTAAATGTACAATTGTTTAGTAATCAAATTACAACTATGATTAACGTCCATTATCGCGATAATGAATGTGGTATTTCCCGTTAGTGTGGCCCAATCATAAGGGTCTGATTGAAATAAATGAATTTGCCTTAACTTACCGTGGTAGCAGGATTGGCAGCTGGTGTTTGCGGCGTGGGCTGCGGCGGGGACGATGCTGGTGGCGCGGGTGCAGTCGGTGACGGGGACTTGCGCAGGTAGTGGGTGGCTGACCCGGGGGACCGGACAGCTGTGGCTCGACGCGGGGGCTGGAACACCAGAGCCTTGTCTGGACCACGCTTGCCTCCTGAACAAAGGGAAATTGTTAGTCGAACTTTAATTAGACCAAAACTGGAATTTGGGATTTTACACTTAAACCGAGTGCTATCTGTTAGATCTTTAATTTTAATACGATTATATGTAACGAAGGTCAGCTGAAGCTGTTTGACGTTGTTTATTTTTCATTTCGTCTATTTAGGTTTGTTTCAAAGTACTTTCAGATACTTTTAGAGACATTCGATGGTGGTCTTTAGAATATCTCAACATTACTTAACATAAATTGTCAACCGTTTTATACAAAAAAAAAAACTCCATAAAAAGTATTTTAAACATAAAAACCCCAAGCGAACCCGGCGTTTGCACACCTATTATTCTTCTATTATGTCTCTAATAACCACGATTGAAAGGTAGGTAAACCACGTCGGTTGCATTTATATTTGTCAAGGAGTATTTTTTCACTTACCAAGTTTGTGAGCAAGCGAGTTCCTGCGGCGGGCGATCCAGCAAGCGAGGGCGGCCAGCGCAGCCGCCACCAGCACCGCGGCACCACACACCACCAACCACAGGGTGGCTCCATGCAGCTCGCCAGCTAAACACAAATAAATAGACTTTAGATAAAGATCATTCTTTTTTTTACATCATATTGCGCAGAATCACCCTGCTAATATTAATTATACACTAATAAGTTTGTATGTATTGATGGATGGATATTTATTACTCTTTCTTACTTGAAACTGGTAGTGATTTTCACGTTAAAGTTACGTGTAAGCCGTTATATTTAATATTTTTTTGTTCGTCTCACTAGATTTACTTAGTATACTTTACAAAAATATAAATACATATTTAGGTACAATGTTTCTAAGCAAAATTAGGTATGTGATGTGACACGATCCATAATTTACGGTAACAGACGAATAGTATGAGACGAGGACTTCCCCAAAAGAAATGATGTGTCACTCTCTGGAATCTGATGAGTCAATAAATTTATTTTTGCAAATAGCAGCAATGGGTACTAAAAGACTGATAATGTGTGATGTAAAATTCTTATTAGAATTGTGTCCTAAATGTTAATTTGCATTATTATAAAAGAGAACTGATCTTCAATTACATTCATAACAACATTCAGCCTAGTTCACAATAACTAAATAGTTATATCAGTTATTGTTATAACACATATAACGGTACCATTCATATGATAATGGAGTATCAAAGTGATTTGATGGCCCTTTCGTATGAAACGAGATTGGGTAACTATGCAATAGACGCTCAATGGGTAGTAATACCTTTATCAGTTATGAGGGAAGCCTTTATATGTTAGAATAATCTATATACATATGTCCTCCTATATATCTACTATACATAGTTTTGTGCTTCGTTATAAATATGTAATTAGTTCCCTCACAATTCCACATCACATTAACTGCACGATTAGCGCAGTGCCCGGGCAACTGGTTGCTATGCAACGTGTCTCAGGTCCGATTCCCGCACGGAACAACACTTCGTGTGATTCACAAATTGCTGTTTCGGTGTGGCTTGTGTATACATGTGAATTTGTATGTTTGTAAACGCACCCACGACACAGGAGAAACTCCTAGTGTGGGGCAACATTTTCTTAGAGAAGGTAAGAAAGATTCCCTGTTCAATTAATACCTCCTTAGTAAAATATTAATCAGTGCAATGCAAAAGTGTTCACCTTTTACATATGATTGTCTCTAAAGAGGCTGACGAATGATATTACAAGATAGTTATGGGCCGAGAAGAAGACTTAGTATGAATTCATCCACTACAGACGGGGCACAAGAGGAACGATGTTAAGTCAGGGTTGGGAGTGCAAGTACAATAGTCAATAATATACCGCAGCCCCAGCCCGGAGCAGAAGAAGGAATGGTGTAATTCCTAGTCATCAGTCTCGAGCGTACGGTGCATAACGTCCCACGCGGGCCTCTAAGAGCCAATACGCCATTACGGACGGGGCCCTATATGGTTGATGTTTAGCCAAGGTTGCGAGGTAAGCTCAATGAGGCACCGCGGTCTTGGTCCAGAGCAGAAGAAGGAACGTTGGGGTTTCATCAAATGACTTTTCCCGCCCAGGGTGAGGTGGAAAATGTTTCAGTCTTCATAAAATTTTCCTCTAAAAAAAAAAAGAACCTGGCCTCTTACTCCACTAAGGGTGAGATAAGTCACAACATTAATGCAAACGAGCTGAAAATACCTGGTTGTCATTAGTGTGTCCTTAGGTTAAAGTTTGTGTACAAACCAATTTAGAATCATTGTCTACGGAAATAAGCGATTTGCTAACGACATTATGAGCCTGCATTGTTTCCATAGTTCATTTTTCTACATTACCGTGACTTACAGGTTTACAGTTTTATTCGCAGATCGCGATAGTGATAAATGACAAACGTTATTTATTTTCCATATCGTTGACACACTGCCGAACCTTTCTAGCCGTAATTTTTATTCGTAGGATGATGATTTTAGGTTGTAGCAGTGTTTTTTGTTTCCAGAACATATTCGACTTTTTTAGCTTAAGTATATGTTTCATTGGAATCCGTCCTTCAGTTCCATAGATTAAGGTATGCAGACAAACATTTTTTTTCTTTTTTCTTTATTCCTGCCTCCTTATCAGACTATTTTTTTTTTATAGTAAAGGATTATATAAACTTTTTTACTACTTATATGTATCCACAAGATTCTAAGGTCATGTATTTATAAAAAACGATGTATCCTCAATCTACCTAAGTATGAAGTTAGCCTCCAAACTCATTGAAATTTCTCGTTTTAGGTACTGCTCATACATTTCCGGGCACAATCACACAAACAATGACTCACGTTTTAAACAAGGGGTAGGGATGTAATGGAAATTGAAGAAGTTTGGAGTGTAACATTACATTATTATGTGACGAAGGGACAGCCAGTGATATGGAAATGTGTTGAAGTTCGTTTGTGTCGCACTTTTAAATATAATATTTGCTTTAATCAGTGGCATGTTTCGTATGTAAAATGAATTCTGTCCTTAAAACTTCTTTAAAATTCAGCAGATTTAGGGCTGGTTTTCCAATGGTTAGATAAAAGTTACCTGGGGAATAATAATTATGATGCTGTCGCGTCAGAATGCTTGTATAAGACAGCAACATTTTATGCCTCAGATTACATTTAAATGACCATTGAAAAATCAGCCCTATATCGAAAAAGAATGCTTACATTTTTTATAGTATAAAAATAAATTACTCGTTGTCTTGTTAGGCGCTATCAAAGCAAGTCTTAATATCGGAAACACTTACACAACTTTACTATCTGTTATTAATAACAGATAGTAAAGTTGTGTAAGTGTGACACAAAGCTGATATTAATAACAGAAAGTTATTACAAAACCAAATATTAAGTGCAGCTACCACCTGGGGTTGCGGGGCAAACGCAATAAGGTACCAGTAGAAAAAACGGGGAGGGCTTTTAGTCATTAAGAGTCTGACACTCCCTCTTTCATACACTGGGCGAAAGAGGTTTTAAGTTCATTTGATGATCGCAAAGAAAGTGCTATCATCATTTGTCATATATTAAAGTCGAGGTTGCGGGGCAAGCGCAATGAGGCACTGTAGCCTCGGCTCAGAACTGGAAAGGAATGGGGGGGTTTTTATTCAGGAAGAGTCTTACACTCTCTCCTGCCCTATCCTGGTCGGGAGAAGTCATTTGATGATTTTCCCATCCCAAAAAAAAAAACATCACATAAGTCAATCGGTTAAACGATCAGTAAAAAGATTTTCAAGGAACCCTTATAACTAAATGGTGTCATAATATATTTATATCATTTTGAACGGAGTATTTCTAAACGTCAAGTTAGATTTCAAACATACATCTAACTTAACCTCAAAACACTCGACAGAAAAGAAGCGGGATGACGTAAATAAATTACGTCTCTACATAGAGTCCGCAGTTGTTCGAAAGAAAATATATAGTTCGGTAGAGATAAGCCAACCGACGCGACGTTGGCGTTCTACTTCCAAACTAGTATACATTTTTTACATCGACTCTACGTATACTAGCTCTATATAGATAGAGGGTAGTAAAATTTTCTCATCCGTAGCTCTACGTCAATTTAGGTTAAATAAACAAAGAGAGGGTTTAAAATTGCTAGACTCTAGCAAAGGTAGAGTTCTGGTTAGCTGTTTGTCTAGACTATGTTTTGTAGCGGCTCTGAGATTTTCTTGGTATTTGATATTTGGAGGTTAATAGCATCTGACTTGTCGAGTGGATGTTTAAAAGCGGTTGGTAGGTATTCGTTTTTTACAACTTTTCCTGAAATAACCTATTGGGTTATATCTATTGAGTTAATGGTGAGTTATACATAGCCCTGAGCTACTATGCCATCGAAGCGAAACAAAATAGTGGTTTTTTTTATAAAGAAAGAAAGAAAGAAAGAAAAAACATTTATTTAGATATCATTACTTTTATGGTATTTTGCTATAAAACATGTCAGCCTCGTTAGGACATTTCTACTTAAATCTACAATATTAAAGTCTCAAAATCTCACTGATGCATGAATATCTTAAACAAGGCCAAAAGCTGCAAAAGAAGTTGGATTTAAGAGAACAGTTGTAAAACTATATTTTTACTATACACTTTCGTGAGACATTCTAAATTAATTATTATGTATTCGGCTTACTCACGTGAATGCTGCTCATGAATATGGGCCTCTAGCATGGCTTGCAAGTAGTCGAGTATCTCGTCAAATTATTACGTGAGCAAGCCGAAAAAATATGTTGTAAAACTACCCATATCTAATGTATTTAACTTAAATTCGCGCACCAATGATTCCCTGTCTCTCGCATATTTTATACAATCAACTAACAAATGTTGATTTAACATCATCAAGGAAATTAGATTTTTATATCATTAAAAAAAATAACTTTATTACAAGGAAAGTAGCCTGCACCAATATTGGATTACGGCGATTTATATCACTTTCACCTATTTTTATTCTAGTCTAGCGTCTGTCCACTTGAGCTGAGCACAATCGATATGCGGAGTCTATAAGAGGATCTAGGTCATATTTCACTTGTGTCTAGTCTTGATATAAATATTTATTGAGAAATGCATTAGATATAGTCATTGTCTTAGTAATATTTAACACCCTATCTATAATTTGATTTAATCTGTTTTACAGTTATAATATGTATATAACAAGCACATATTATTTACACAACATGTGCTTGTTATAATATTGTTAATTTTTTTTTATAAATCATAATGAAAAAATTCAGTAAATTGTCTAACAAAACTCATACCCTACAGACTACACAATACGAAACAAAAAGTCACATGCAGTTTAAAATCCAGATCACAGAATTCTTACAAATTCTCTCTTACTTAAAAAAAAACGTTGAAAGAAAAATCAATGTAAATCAAAGTTACCAGCATTAAAAAATATCCAATTTACATTTAAATTACAAATAAGCCGTGACATTGAGTCGATTCAGACATCAAATTGCATTACTGATGACGCACGCGATCCCCTCGACGTAATCCCATGAGCACGGAACGACCAGATTTCCAATAAGCCCCGAGTCTCCCCTTTCTGTAAACATTGTC